CCCCCCCCCCCTACACACACACACACCCCCCTTGCCCGTCCCCTCTTACCTGACCATGCGTTACTCGCGTGGGCTTCAACAAAGATTGACGACAGGAGCGTTGCCGGCGGGCGGGCGGGTGGGGGAAGAGAAGCGTCTCCGCCGCCTCCGGCCCCTCTTTCGGTGGCGGAGCTTTTCGACGAGGACCGCTTGGAGATGATGTCGTGCAAGTACGCCGACTATGACTCGGCCTGCCTAGCGGCAGCGGGAGGGGGGGACTGGCTGGAGGAGCGGCCGAACCCTTCTTTGTCTCCGAAGGCGGTGAGAGAGGACAGGGAGAGGCGTCAGTCAACTCCCTCGCCCCCCTTGCGCTCGTTATTGTTTTGGGTGATGGGGGCGGGTAGGGCGAGTGTAGGTAATGCTGCACTCATTTGTCTTTTGCTCTTTTTTCGGGCTACTTTGTTGGCCCATATGGTTCTTGTGGCTGCTGCTGTGTGGTAGATTGCACGGTGCGCTGCCGGGGGGTCCAGGCGAGAGGGAGGCGGTGCTGCTCGTTCGTGTGCGTTGAGAGCTGAGGACACGTTCGACTTGTCGCCGCCCGCGCCTCGAGACACCATCACAAAACAACGCGAGACAAAATCAACAAGTAGTAAATAGTGGCAGCCGGTCCGCTTTACGACCACTCTCTCGCGCGGGCGTGATAATACTTGACACGACTTTCGTATGTTGAACTCGTGCTGGCTGGGATAACTTGTGCGTCCAGGTGGCCCTGACGTGCATCCTTTCGCTGAGGCAAAATGACGACGGAAGCGGCAGTGACGCTGCCACCGATGACAGCCGTAGGGACGGAGAGGCGGCCGGCGGTGATGCCGCGGCGACGGCAGGGGCGGGGGCGAAGGCGACGAAACCGCGATTAAATGAGGGCTGCGAACGCGTGATTAGGTTCTGCTCGCCCACCAACGTCGCCAGCACGCTCACGCCGGCGCACTTTGCTCAGGTAGACCGGGTGGCAATCGCACCGCACCAGCAGCGATCACATGTGGTACGTTGGGGGTCCGGTCCCTCAATGGTGCCGGTTGAACAGGGCCACGGCCCTTTGAATAGTATCGGTGAATCTGGCGGGTGCCCAAGGCACTATTGAGGGACCTTCGTCGTGCTTGGGAAAGTATTGCTAGGGTAGGGTTTGGGCAAGGGCTCCGATCCCAACTGATCGGCGCGTTGAACGGTCTTACGAACGGTCTTTATGGCTAGGCAAGGCGACCAAAACGATTGGAATGCTGCTGTATCCCCCCGTCCGTGACGGTTCGTTTCCCACCGTTGAAGATTTTCGTCGTTTTCCATCCGTCTGCAGCATATCCATCTAAATTTTATAATTACCCATCCCAACAAATACTTTTTGAAAAACAGTATCTCAAGGAGCCATGGTACGCCATCTTTAACAAGTGGGACGAGCTGTCGTTTCACAGCGAGGACATTTCGGAAGACGAGAGTACCGCGGATCTCGTGGTGAGTTATCGTGTGTGTGTCGCAGGGGGGGGGGAAGGCGCTGACCGTCGTACCCCCTCGGTCCGGGGCACGGAGCAAGCAAGCACGAAGGGCTTAACCTCGCGTCGTCTAAGGCAACGAGATTTACGGTCGCTCCACTCGTACGAAAAAGCATGCGCATGTCAATGTGAAGACAAACAACAACAACGATACCAACAACAACAACACGACAGATTCTCAACCGAGATACTATCCCTAACCAATACCCCAAAGGCCGTTCTTGGCGCGTCGAGCGTAGACAGCACTCAAACGTTGGAGGCGCTTCACAGTTTGGGAACTACGCTCGGAATGGTTCTAGGGAAGGGACCCCCTCATAACTAAGACAAGACTGTTGTTCGGATTTGCTTCATTTTCTTTTGTGGTTCGTTTAGGTTCGCTGGGCTGTTGGAGTCAAACACGTGAGCTGTGTGACTGACCCGTTCGAGCTCGGGAAGCGTCACAGCTGGCAGTCAGCTAGCTGTTGGCTGGCCCTGCTGCCTTCTTGTATGTTCACCTTTCATCACCCCGTGAGGACACTGCTGTTCCTTCACCAGCCCACTACGCAGGGATCACTGGTACACAAAAGAAAGACAAATTGTACCGCAAGGTATCCGATCCACACTCCCTCCACTCTTGCTGATATCATCTGTCGTCCCCCCAAGGTTCTATTGCGCCCCGATAACGAAGAAGCGTGGACGTCGGTGAACTGGGAGTTAGTCAAGTGCGACGGCATGTGGCTCACAGAGAGAATATGGGTGGTAGATGTCTGAGGTCCGCGGCAGCTGATGATGGCGTTACCGGCGATGATGGCGACGGTAATCGATTGCTTTCCTCTCCGAAGCGCATGCTTCACACAAGGCAATGTTGCGTAGTGTTGTGGGGGTTGTTGTGTTTTCTTTTTGCGCGGTTTTACATGCCACAGCCCTTAGTTCGGTGCGTGTGGGCCCGTTTCGGTTAGTTTTGCCGCTTGTGTTGCGCTGTGGTGGAAAAGTATGAATCTCTGGGCGTCGTGGGGGTGAATGTTTGTCAAGGGTGTGGAGTGCACGTGCTCTCCAGAGTGCGAGTAAACGCATCGTTTTTGCTGCGATGTTGTCAGGTTTCGTGGATCGCAGTAGCTTTAGCGGTGTTGAATGGGGGGTGCATGTGAGGCCGAAGCAAGCGTTCGGACATGACGATCTCATCATACAGCGCACCTCTGCTTCATAGGTGCTCAGAATACATCTAAGTATATTACAGTTTTTGATGCAGCCCCGCTGTTGATTTGTCTGAGGTTGGATTGGATCGATACTGATGCGTACGGTTCTGGTGCCAACAACCTGCGACGAAAATGCGGGCGGGGGGCTCTCTTGAGTGATGTAAATAAAGAGGTCCGTCAACCTTTAGAAGAATGGATTATGTATCGTACGAGCGCAAGCTTAAAAATCAACGGAATTGGCGGGGGTCGAAACAAGTGGTGGAGCATGTACAGTATACTGCTTGTAGCCGTTATCTTCATTGTATTATGTCCAGTAGAACCATAACTTTATGCGGGCCTTGTTGGGCTACCTTCATGGCAACAGCAGGAGTGCCTCCCTCCTGTCGTGGGTGCACGACATTAGATTTATTTACGATGTGGGTGCGACGGGGCGGCCTCTTTGATTGGGTCCATCTCAGGCAGGCGTCGCCCAGACGTTTCGTTTTTGTCTATTTCGACAAGGACGTAAAAGTCTATACTGTAACTTGCGCTTCTTTTTGGATATGCGGATGTCATAACACGTCTGTCTTCTCTTGTGTGTCAATCGTGCGACATCCTTCTTTGTGGCCGTGCGTATCCCCTTGCTTGGCAGCAGGCAAGATGTTTTCAGCGGCCGCTGTTCTAAGAGTCTTTGGGGCTGGGGTCGTGCGGAGATTCGTTCAGAGATGACTACTGCTGTAGCAACCTTGACATCAATATATTTGGTTCTTTCTGAGATTTTCTGAGATTGATTTAGATGTGTATCCAGATACGGGCTGCCTTGTCCCAACTACTTACTGTGTGCCCTCTGCAGCTGCCCCAGGTTTCGTGTGTTTTTTTTCCTCTGTAGGACGTGTTTCCGAAGCGGTGCTCTCTGCACATGTCGCAGAGCACATTAAATATCCCGCATCACCCTCGTAGCGCATGACAATTCTACAGACAACGATTCTGTTGCAGGTGTGCGTGCAATGTTCGTCCACACACCGTGCTCTTGCACCACTTCCCGTCACAGCTGCTCTGCAGCAATACGCGAACAGGGATGGGCGCGGTGGGGGGGGGGGGGGGTT